CACGCTTGACCAAAAAATCATTATTATGCTTTGTCCATATCATTAAAAGCAGAAAGTTTCTTAATTTTCGAATGGGCCATTCATAAACTCATTAAACTGTGAGAAAAAAAAAAGGTTTAGTCCTATAAAATAATTATGAGATACCAAGAAAAGAGCTGGAAAATATTAATGAAACTTTGAATGCTTAATGTGACTCATTGAACTATTATAGTCAGTCAAATATTTCTCTAAAATATTGATGAAACTTTGAATGATGAAATGTGACTTTCTTTTTGGCCTGGGACATATCTTCTTAGCTTTCTTTCCGCAAAATGATATTTGAATTTTTTTTCTTTTTTTTTTTTCTTGTTGAAATCTAGTTTTCTTCTTCAATATTATTGAAAAGTTAGTTCACACTTTTTAAAGTCTTCAACGGCTCATTACGAGACCAGGTATTAGCTCATGTGGGGCTATACCATATCACTATCTTTATTGCCTCCACATATTTGTTTGTACAAAGCAAGGGTAGACACGAAACGGATATCTTGAACTTTTTTGGACTTTATGATCCTCTCCGCTTTACAACTAGTCGGATATCTAATGTTCAGATAACCGCTAAAATCTAAATATTCGGCTGGATATACAGTCCGATTCATAGTTCTTAAGAATAAGAAGAAAAATATTAAAATTTGATAAAATATCAAAATTCAACAAAACAATGGCAGTATGCATTGAAAATTTATTTTTCTTTCTTAATTTGTAAATTTAATACTTTTCTAATTAAGTTAATGAATGCAAATTCATATATATAAATAAATAATGAATATATAATTTTGTATCTTTAAATATATACATATATACTACATATATATATATATATATATATATATATATATATATTTCTTTTAAAATTTTAGTATTTGTGATTAAATTTGTATTTCGGATTTTTTGTCTTTTTTTTTCATAGAATAACAAATATCCAGAATTTTGGGGTTGAATCGAAAAGAATATAACATATTATGCCCAGTCAAGTTAATCCAGAGAGCAATGAAGATCACTAGACTGACTTGAACAAAAGAATTATGTTTGTGTTCTTAACAAAATTATATAACCGATATTTCAATTGCTTCCTTTGAAATTTCATGGTTGAACGGTGAGTAAACAAAGAATGTGAAGTTTTTTTTTTTAGATTTTTATTAATTATAATAAATAATAAAATTAATTTAACTTAAATAAAAATATATTAAACAAATAGAAAATAATTTTTCCATTATTTTTATGGCGGGACAAACAAAAAAGCTAGTTTGGAGTTTTAAGTTATTTGTAAAATTATGTTGGTGGTTTATAGTGTTAGTGAAATTCTTTTGAGGTTTAAAGTGCTACCCAGTAACACTTTGAGGGTTAAAAATGTGTTTTTTCCCAAAAGAAAACCAAAAATCATACCATTAGTTCATTTTGATATACTCAAAAATCAAAAATCAAAATCAAGAGTTTATTTTTTGCTTAGTGAAGACTCCTATTGATTCCCATTCTAAGTTACATATGACATCCTATACAATCCAAGTTACCAGCTTGAATACACATTTGACTGGAGTACCAAAAAGGTTTTAGTTTATTTGTCGGTCAATGTCATACTCTGAGAGAACGTCATAAATGTAGAAGAAAGTAGACAGCAAACTATTGTTCACAAGATATGACACAATGTTGATGTACTGTATTCAATGATGACATCAAGGAAACTATATTTTCAGAGGATCATAACATATAGAAATCCTTGATGATGATGAGATGTTGGATTTCGCGTAGGTATAGCAATCATAATGTATCTCAAAAACCTCAGTTTCAGAGAGAGGATGATCTATTCATTATATGGCTTGCACAAATTCCAGAGAGCAACAATGGCTTCTTGTGCGCGACTAAATTATCCTAAGCAAAAATTGTATAATGAACTTGGTGAAGAGCTAAACTAAAAGATCCTTATGTGTACCTAAACCATTTACCACTGACAAATTTTTGATCTCCAAAGAAACAAAGGAATCAAAAGGTTTTAGCTTTCCTCTTTTCTCATCATTTCTTCTATTCCAAGGAATCGATATGCATATATTCTGCTTTAGTAACTAGAATCTTTTCGATCTAGAAAATGAGATTCGACAACTCAAGTCTCGGTTTCAAATAGGAAATAGCAATGGACAGTCCAAAGCAAGTCAGGCATTAGATCACAGAAGCTGTTTAGCAATGTCTTAGGAATCGATATACATATATTCTGCTTTAGTAATAAGAATCATTTCAATCTTGAAAGTCTGATTCGACAAATCAAGTCTCGGTTTCAAATAGGAATAGCCGTGGACAGTCCAAAGCAAACCAAGATCACATACATCGAAATGCAAGATCACATAAGCTTACTAACAATATCTTCTTGCTAAAACCCACAAGAAGGGGAAGCCAGTGAAAAATCAATGATGAGAAGAGTGGTGACACAATGAGCAAGAGCACCAAAAACTACAAACACATGGAATATCTGATGGCTATGTCCAGCCATATCAAACGCTCCAGGCTTCCATCTTTCAGGCACACGGCTAACATAAAAAGTAGCTCCCACAAAATACGACAAGGCCGTGGCAATCTCGTAACCGAGGGCGATGAAGACGTTAGGATGATCCCAGTAAAGGCAAAGCACATGTGTAGCAGGTATGACAGCAGATGATCCCATTGCAAGGAAAAGATTAGCTCTGAAAGGTCTAAAACGCGGTGTAGAGAGAGCAGGAGAGAGGAGAGTGATGATAGCGAGGAGACCGAGGATCGAGATCGAGGACAAGTAGAGTAAACGGAAGTTAGGGTGGCAAGAGAATGCATAGTAGATTGGTGCAAAGAAAGAAGCAACGATCATGAGAGATATTCCTGCGTAGTCTAAACGCCAGAAGAAGAGGTTGAAACGTTTTGAGTGACAAGCAAGGAGGTGTGAAACAGAGCTGCAGATTAAACAACCCATTGCTCCGACTAAGTAAACGAGCCATGGCCATTTTGGAATACCTTCTCCTTGAGAGGTAAGACATGAGATGTGTTGTGTCACGTTCGAATCCTGTTACAGAGAGAATCTTTTAAAGTTTAGTCATATGAATGAGAAAAGGATCATTCTTTATTCTTTTCTCAAAAGTTATGCGATCTTTTTTGGTGGGTTCAAAGCTCAAGAGAGAAAAGATCCAAGAAATATATCGAAAACAACAACACATGGTAGGGGCAATTTACCACTATTTTACATGATTAGAAAATGACAAAGATGTGGTTTATTTGTATGTCTACTATGAATTTACTTTGTTGCAAAAACATGGCAATATTTTGGTTACAAAAATAAAACATGTTTTTAGTGTGTATATGTTTTCAGTCAGTATGTATATACTAAATTAGAGATATATCAAATTTATGTAAACTTCAATTTCATATATTAATAATTAAATAATAATGGCTTAAATTCAAAGATTATCAGCTTTAATTTAAGTAAACTATAATTTAATTTTTTTAAATGTCACAACCATTCTTTTGTAAACAAAAATATATTTTTTTCCGTTACATATCGTAAAATCGATATAATATGGTAATGACACATATTTTGTTATAGGTTATGACACATAAAACAAACTATATAACTTATAATATTCAGCATTTTAGTATTGACAATGTCACACATAAGATAAGATAAGGCGACAATTAAAAATATCAAAAGAATACAAAAAACTTACATGAAGCAGAGTCTGATTGCTTGAGAGGCAAATCCTCACTCTATCGTCAGGTCCCCAAAAAAAGCAATTATATACTATTTTAACATTTAAAAAACTTAAGATAAAATGACGATTTTAACCTCGGTGGTTCTTACCCGGACATGCCGTTAAAAACGCCGGCGAGACTAAGCTCCGTCGTCTCCAAGCAACTCACCACCGTCATCCACAGAAATATCACAAATCCAAATAAATGCCTAACGATTATCAAAATCCCAAACTCTCACAAATCAATTCAAAATATCCGTAAAATTACGAAAAACCCCCTAAAAAGATTTTAACGTACGTCCAAATGTTGAGAGTTTCGTTGTGCCAAGAGAAAGCACTGAGAAAAGTATCTTTGAGAGACCATTGACATCGATAATGGTTGTGTATAAACTCGTTGTCCTTCAAATACTCAGGCAAGTCTTCGAACTTCATCAATCTCCTTACGAGTCTCGTCTCTTCGCCGGAATCTAACCCTTTACAATCGGTAACCGTCACCATCGCCGGAGATTTTTTCGCCGCTCTTCGTCTCTTCATGCTCCGTTTTCTCTTGTTGCGGCGAATCTATGTCCGTCGCTATCTCTCTGTATTTTTATATATGGAGACGAAAACCTCTTTGAATGTAATTGAGCGATCGTGACCGTCCACGTGTGAGATAATGCTGACGTGGATGGTTATGATTGGACGGAGAGATTTGCTTTGTGTGAGGTTGAGTACAGCTGATTAATTGTATATGTGCTAGATTTTTTGAATCTTAGCGACAAGTTGGAAGATGAGAAAATGCATAAGGAGTGGTGCGTAAAAATGGCACTAATCTACTTTAGATTTGAGATTACACATATGTATAACTTAATCTCAGCTATAGTCACCAACCAGACTACAACACCTGGACAAAACTCATAAAATTTAGATTAATCTAGATTAAGTCCCTAAAATCATTCATGTGTCTGGGCGTGATTGGTTGCATGACCATTAATCAGTGGTGATCTAGCTTGTTGGTCAATTGGTGTTGTCACATGAATGTGTACACTTTTGGTTTTGAACAAAAACAATCTCATGTCTTTTTTTTTTTTCGCCAAACCATCTCATGTCTTTCTTCTCTGATTTGGAACAAAATCTCTCTCTCTCTCATTAGCTAGAAAAATTCTTCATAATTACCGCACAGACAGTAGGAATAGGATAAGGAGGTGATCCCATATATTGACAATCACAGGTTGAAATTTAGGTATAAAAAAAGCTTTCCAATGCATTTTCAAGCCAATATGTATCAAATACGAATCTCCACCAAAGAGATTTATTAATAAACCGTAAATTGGAAATTTACAACACACACAAGAGTTTTTGGAGAACATTATTACAAACACATACATATGACTGACAATGCTTGAATAGAGGACAAGAGAAATTGTTCAACGAGGGCTTCCGATGACAACTCTAGGCTTGTTTCTACAAAACTTTTCCATGAACCACTCGTGCTTATGTGAAATGAAGATATGTCCAATCACTAATCCGCAAAAAACACCGGGACCATATGCTATTGCCGTTGCTATCCAGTTTATCACTTGTTCTTCTTCTGGCTCTGATACTTCCTCTAATTCTTGTGGTCTAGGATTTGGGACATGAGTTTTTATGCAGATATCATCAAGACCGTAAAGCTTGGGGTTGTCCATGAATGAAGAACAATTTTGGCTTTGAAACAGTGCGCCGCGTGGTATTGGACCTTCAAGTTTGTTGTGGGCGAAGTTCATGGTTGACAGAAATGAAAGCTCACCAAGATCTCGGGGAATCTGACCTGACAGCTGATTCCGGGATAAATCTAATGCCTCAAGATTCGTCATATTTGCCAATGATTGAGGTACATTGCTTGTGAAAGCATTATTCGACAAGTTGAGAAAACGTAACCCCTTCAACAAGCCAATGGATTCAGGGATCTTTCCATAAAACCTGTTTCTTGAAAAATCAATGGCTGTGAAGTCTCTCCGGATCTTCTCGAACTCTGTATCTACACCTTTGTGCACTATTTCCATTGATTTAATGTAAGGAACTAGATGTTAACCCGCGGTACACCGCGGGCCTATATTTTTGCTAAATAGAAATTTGAATTTTTATTTCAAGGCTTTTCTTTTACATATATGCTATTTTTTATATTTAAGTATATATATATGTATATATATATATATATATATATAAATATATATATCTATATATTGTAGGATTAGTATATGTTAAGTTCATTTTTGAAAATATAGAGATAGAGAAAATTATATAGTTCATTAGTCACTTATGTATAGGTTATTAAAATATGAATTTATTTTCTTGTTTACATAATATATGAGTTAAGATCCATAATTTCAAATTTTTACGTATTTTATTTTATTTTTGAAGATTTATATTTGAATTTATTTTAAAATATTAATTTTGAGACGACCCTGAAAAACATACAGATTAAAATCTTGAACCGATTCAAAAATTAAGAAGGTTTGAATTGAAAATTTTGCACCAGCCTTTTTATTTTTACATTTTTGTAACACTAACTTATCCTTAGTGATCCATGTAATTATGATTTTCTTGAATGGCTATCAAAAATCTAATTAAACGAATTATTGTTATATATATATTTAAAAGGAATAAGACAATATAAGGTAGGAAAATTTGAATGTATAACCAAAAATAAAACTTAAATTAACAAACTAACCAAAAAAAAAATGTGAAGTGATATTCTATATATTTACTATAATATATACCAAAATACCCCTTCTTTTTCCTACAACCCCACCATCACCAACCACCATCTCTACCTCTATCTCCAGCCACCGTCGGCCACCACCGAGAACCACCACCGTCGGCCACCACCCCGGCTACCACCACCACCGACCTCTGCTGGCCACCACCACCCCCGAACTCCGCTGGCCACCACCACCCCGGCTACCACTACCACCAACCTCCACCGGCCACCACCACCACCGCTGCTGGCCACCACCACCGCTGCTGGCCACCACCACCGCTGCCGGCCACCACCACCACCACCCCGGCTACTACTACCACCAACCTCCGCCGGCCACCACCACCACCACCGCTGCTGGCCACCGCCTCCACCGCCAGCCACCACCACCGTCGACCACCACCACATGCCACCTCCCCTTTAGCCACCACTACAATGGCTAATTTGGTCATTATACTACCCTCTATGGTTAGTTACTATATTTTCAATATTAGTGTGTTAGTTTCTTAATTAATTTATCAGTTTTAGTTATACACCTAATTCACCCTATAAGGTATGAAGTTATGAATTTCCGTGAGAAAAAAAGTTATTTAACTAATCATTTATCAGTTGAAAAAAAAAAATCATTTATCATTAGGTCCATACTTCAAATTAAACATGTTGTAGAACCTAATAACAAAGAATCAAAACTCTAGCAACTTTTGAAAGGCCCACAAAGCCCAATTAGATTTATTCTACAAAAAAAAAAATAGAAAGGGATCTCTGTAAAACAAAATCAGCGACCGATGTCAAAAAGCAGAACCAAAAAAAAAAAAAAATCACCGACAACCTTCTGGATCTGCAATTTCTCAAGCATCAATCGATATAATGAGTTCTAATCGAACCCAGCTAAACAACAATCAGTTTTTGTTTACTGAATTGATATTTTGCAAAGGTAAGCGAGACATCTATTTATTCTTTTTTCCTTACGCGAGTTTCCAAAATCAACTTGTAATCTCTGATAATATGAGTTAATCGTCGAATAATCCCTCACCCTTCAATCGATCAATGGCTTCTAATCAGGTTAGTGGCTCGGTTAGGTTCGAGCGGCTCTTCGAATTCAATCGGAGCTTGTCTTCTCCAACCTCCTTCTCTTATCAGATTTCGATGGATTTTGGAGTTTTTCGTAATGAAGCTACTTCAAAGTGGATTAATCGACTGGTTAAATGAGATCTTTTATTTAGTTTGCTATCAATCAAAGTTGAAACGACACAAATCATTGATTGAAATCTCTTTCAACTTTCGGTAATCTTCTTCGTCATGGCCATGAAATCAAGTTCATTTGTTCCTTAGGTATCGAAACTTCAATTCGTGTACCATATACTATTAACTATTGGTTTATACTGTTTCTAATTTCATATACTTGCAGAAATTTGACATTCTTTCTTTTGATTGTTCTGACACAAATGGTGAATCTGGTAAGTATCAAAGAGGAAGCCAAACAGTCAAGGTTCGTTAATTTACTAAGACGTACAAATCAATTTTATATATTGTTGTTAAAATTCTGCATAGATTCAAGGTAAATAAGGAATTTGGTTAAACTAACTCTCATTATCGTGATAAAAGTCAATACACTACTCTTCTTAAGTATAAGTTAAAGGTCTATTTTTTAATAGAATGTTCAGTTTTTCATTCAACAGGAAGAAGAAGTTAAACATCTTGATCACGGTGGAGGGCTCTAAGCCTCTTAGAGTATCAAACAATTGTTTACATCAGGTTAGTTCTTCCAGAATACTCTTAGAAAATTATTCACATTGAGATATATTATTCAAAAAATCTAAATAGAAACTTTGAAAAGTTATAAATGAACAATTTATTGAAGAAAACACGAAAACCATTGCATAATCCAGACTCTTAAAACAATGATAAGTCATCAAAATAAAATAAAATGGATCAAAGCAATTATTGATGGTAAGTTTATTTTTGATGGTAAGTTTTGTTTGCACGTGGTAAAGTAGAAATGGTTTCGTGTTTGGTGAGTTTAGATCTTGAAAATGAGGGTGTATTTATATTGTTTTGAGAAGATTGGTAGGTCCTTTGCACAAAAAAAAAAAAGAAGAGAAGATTGGTAGGTTTTTAGGTTAGAGAATATAGAAAATTTTGATGAGCAAGTATAAGATATTTTTAAAAATCTTTGAATAGAAAATTCATAGAATACTAATTGACAAAACTTTATGTAAATTGTTCTTACTAATTCGTCCAAAACGACCAACTCAAGAGTTTCATCGTGTTACTGGTGTGCTGACGCCAAGAATGGAGAATATTAACTTGAACTCTCCAGGCGGTTTTATAGGGTCGAACATCTCGGTTTTGTAAGGTGTGTTTAATGGTTTTCTGCAAATAGTTGCTTGATTGCTTCTTTGGTTTTGAGGATGTTATGAAACGTCAAGGTGTAGAGTATTTATAGTCTCATAATTAGGTCATTAATCCATAAAACTACACGCAAAAAAATATTTGATGTAGAACCTAAGAAGGGATAAAATCTTTGGAAAATATAATATTTTGGAATATGCCAAGATTTAAAAGTTATATAGTCATAACTTTGATTCTTAAAATCGATATTGTACAGAGAAGAAATCTCGGAAATCTCGGAAAATGAATGGGGGGGGGGAGTAATTAGTTGATAGAAGAGATCCCAGAATATATATTTTAGAAAGATATAGATATTAGAGAGTAACTGTGGAGATTTTTTTGGAGAAAAGTCATAAATTCGTTTCTCACAATCGTTTTTTACAGTTATTGGAGAGAAGGAATATCCCAAATGGTATGTTGTGAATATTCGTTTCTTAATGATTGAAGAAATCTCGGAAAAAATATTTTGGAAAGAAAAAGCGTGTAGAATTGATGGAGAGATTTTTTTGGCAATGTTTGTTAAGAGCTTTTAATATTGTATTTAAATTTTTAGATACTAAACAATTAATGTCAACGGGTAATTAAAGAGATAAGGTCATTTTTTTTTATTACAACATTCCTAAAAATCCTTATCCAAGGTCCGAATATAGTTAATCCCGGATAATACCCGGATCCAAAAGACTTTTTGCAAAAATCCCCTGTAAAAATGTATATGTAGATAATAGCATTTTGGAAATTGTGGACATCATTCATGAGGAAGGAATATTCCATATATATAACACCATCATTTGTTGGGTTTAATGTAGTCATCTGAAGCCAGCTGGAAAAATCGAAAGCTGGGAAAGTTCCAGTGAAGTCATTATGTGAGACATCAATAACTTTTAAATATAGAAACCCAATGTCAACGTGGTCGTGAAACAATGGCCCATAGAATTGGGAAAAAATTACAAGATCTACCACATTTTCCCTATTTGTTTCAAGATCTACCACATTCTTCTCCATCTTTCAACTCATACCACATTTGTCTGTGAATTGTCAATTTTGCCCTCACAGACAGTTCCCGCCTGCGCCTGGCAACGAGTTGACATTCGCACCTTCTCGTTTCCCTATTAACCCTCGAGACCCGTGCAAAATTACACCCCACAAACTTCTCTCCCCTGCGAGAAGTGTAACCGCTTTCGTCTCTCATTCACTTTCCCTTTCTCTTTCTTCTCCTTCTCCTCTCATCGGAAGTTAGTTACGGTAAACCATTTTCGGCAGATTCTTTGAATGTAACTGACACTCGATTTTGTCCCTCATACTTGATTAATCACAAGTTAGTTTGTAGTCATCTAATTATTGGTTCGTAGTCATCTAATTTGACTTAATCGTGTCGTCCCCAATTTCTAGGGTTTCTGTCCATCTGCATGCTCCTTTTCCACTGTTCGATTTTCAAAGAAATTCTTAATTTTTTCTTCTGTTTTCTCTCCTCCGCCGCAGATGAAGTCCTCCTCCAGTAAATTGAAACAAAAGTCTCCGCTTGGAAGTTCCAGGCGCCCGGTTTCCTTTGAAGACGACGACGACCCTTTTGTCTCCGCCAAGTCAACCGCGACCCACTCAAATTCTCCATATCAGCCGCGACCGGAGATCCCGGTAGTAATTAGGGACAAACTTCCGAAAAGGCTCTACGCCACTGACTGCTATCCGCCTCTCGGACGTATTAATGCTTATTCAAAGCCGGAGTATCTGCTCGATCTCGTCGAAATCCTAGAAGGGACGAAAGAGTTAAATTATCTCCGCGCCTCATGCTTTGGCCCGCTGTTTCAGCTTCCTGTCCGCAAATGTTCGTTTTCCGGCAAATTAGTACATCAGATGTTGTGTAGAGGCGTCTACACAAGGAAAAAACACGAGCTATGGTTTATTTTTGCCGGTCAGCCATTCCGTTTTTCGTTAAGAGAATTTGCCATTCTCACTGGTCTGGATTGTCGGCCGTATTCTTCACCGGCAGATGTATTGAAGTCGCAGAGAGAATGTACCAAAAAACATCCGTACTGGAATATTCTCATAGGCGAGGACCACACGGGTGTCCTCATCAAGGACATTGTTGACTGGCTGAGGAAAGACAAGATGAAGCCCAAGAAAGAGAAGATGGATGACTGGAGAAGGCTTCGTCTCGCTCTTATCGTGATCGTTGAAGGGGTATTGCTTTGCAGTTCCCAACCTGTGAGAGCTTCTCTTCAAGTTGTCGAAATGGTTCAGCATTTGGAGTCGTTTGAAGCGTTTCCATGGGGACGAGAATCATTCCTTCTGACAATGCGAATGGTTAAGGTCAGTCAGAAGGTTAACAGTCTCTCTGCCCTAATTGCGAAGTTCAACCAGTCTCACTCTTCAACCCATGGGTTCCCTCTTGTCTTCCAACTGCTGATGTTAAAGGCCATCCCAGTTTTTGAGAGATACCTTAATCAACCTGATGATACGCAGACTATCATTGATGGGTCAATCACTACTTTGCCTCCGTTGAAGACTTTTCACAATTCCAACATAATGGAAACAGAGCTAATTCCTGGGGTAATTATTATTTTTGTCCTTCTCGTGAACATTATTATTTTTTTACCCTAGTACCCAAGTGTTTACTAATTAATTATTGAATTCAATGTAGTTAAGGATTGCCCCGCTGTTGTCTACTGATGATCCCCCACACCCATCGATCAACGATTGGCCTGATGAAGTCTCTGACCCGGCGATTGACTATATGGAAAGCCTTATTGGTGGCGGATACAAGTTCTGCCAAGCTGACTGGATTGGTGGGTGTCGTACTTGGCCAAAGATAGTCGTTGATGAGAACCCCAAAGAACCCAATGTTCGCAAGACCAAGAAGGTACCTGTGAGACGTCCAAATATAAACTCTGACATGCCTGAGTTTCCCCAGGGTGGTCCATCTGGTTCATCAAAAGGTAAAGGGAAGGTCGATGAAGACTTTTGTCCCCCAGCAGGGACTGAAGGTAAAGATGTTCTCCATGCTCTGATCATGGAAGAAGTTAATTCGAAGTTCCGTGACATGAAAGAGGAATTGAAGGTTGAATTGATGGGTGAAGTTTGTCGGATGTATGGAGTAGAGAAGTCTTTATTGAAAGACGAACTCTTAGACGAGATTATTAGCAATCTGCGCCATGGTGGGAAGTTTCCAACAACCCCCCCTCCGAAAGCTGCTTCACCAGGTAAAAACAAACCATCTGAGGGACAAACCTATGGTCCCCCTAATAATGCAAATGTAAACAAGGAGTCCGGGGGACACACAGATGTCCCATTAACGAACGCTGTTACTGAGGGACAAACGCATGGTCCCCCAGAAAATATAAATATCAACAAGGTCCCTAGTGGGCAGACCTCTGATTCCCCCCATGTCCAGATAGACCCTCCCGCCCCAAGTTCTCCTCAATCGCCGTCTAAGGGGAAAAGTAATTCTCAACTTTTGGAGGAGTTTCAGCGGCAAGCCTGGTCTGAGTACGGAGGAGTGTCTGATGTTTTACAAAACCTCAACCAGTCTTATGCATCTCCCTCTGGTCCTGCTAAGTCTGGTCCGTTTGGACCTTCTCCTGGTCTTGTTGCTTCTGGTCCTTCTACCATTCATCCATCTCCTTCTGGTCCTTCTTCCTCGAAGTTCTCTATTGATCACAACGTAAGTTTCCTTGTTGCTTCTGGTCCTTCTCTATTGTTTTGACGTTGAATAACCTCTGTTTCTTACATATTATTCAGCCAAAAGACTTCCAAACTCCATTGCCAACCATTAGTGAGGACAACGCAGAGGAAACCGAGGACGAAGAAGTTGCAGATGAGGTTTGTATATTACATTTTTTTTTTGTCTACCTCTTTCTGGGAATGGTTCCTAAACCATTTTACACAGGTCCTGGTTGGAAAGTCTGTTAAAGAGAATTTTCCTGAAGATCACAACGTAAGTTTAACTAAAGTCATTATTTGTTTTCTTATGTGGTGGAGTTTTTTATTTTTCTAATCCTTTTTTACTTTTAATTCTCTTTACTTTTAGCCCAACGACTTCCAAACGCCTCATCAAGATGTAGAGGAGATCAGTTCGGCTGATGAATCAGAGGACGATCAAGATACAGAGCAGGTTTGTCTCTGTTTCAACGTGGATACCTGTGTCTTTCCATGGATATGATCCTCTCTTCTAATCACCTATAACAGGTTGCTGGTGGAAATTCTTTTGGTGTGTCTGAGGACGTGGGATTTGTTGGTGAGGAGAGAAGGGAAGCTATAGAGAATAAGTCTGTTGGTGTGTCTGAGCACGTTGATGTTGTTGAGTGCGAGGACAGAAGAGAAGAAGTAATTGAAAAGTCTGTTGATGTCTCCGGGGACGATGTTGAGACTGAGGTTTTAGAGGATAAGTCTGTTTCTGGGGACCACGAACCCAAAGAGGGTGACGAGAGTAGTGGTGATAGTGAAGGAAGGTCTGAAGACGAGGATCACCAAGATGAAGCTATGGACGAGGTATAATACTTATTTCTGTAATAACTAAAACGCAAATTCTAATTTCTTATCCCTAACCTGTCGTGCCCATTCATCTAGGCAAACAAAGCATGGCCGCCAGAGCTTTTTAAATCCTCAAGAGGTGCTGATGAACAACTGGTTGACGATCAAGAGGTATCTCATAAATTTTCAGCATTTTAATTGTGGTTCTGTTTGTCCCTTTCCCTAAAATACCTTTTTTTATAGGGAAATGCTACTGGTGGTGTGGCAATTTCAGAAAAAAGTCCCTCTGGGAAAAAGAGAAAATCCTCTTCTCTTGGCGGGGATTCTTCTAAGCCGATCCTCCCTCCCAAAAGGGCAAGGAATAAACCCCACCGTTTCCGTGACCCTATTCCAGTCCAGGGACAAGAATCCACAGGGACCAACAGTGTTTCCCAATCAACTGATGAGGTTTTGCACCCGTTTGTCCTAGTAAATGATGATCTTCGGAAACATTTCTTGTCCACTCTGAAATCTTATCGCCAGAGGTAATTCAGTTTCTTATTGAATTCATTACTTACTTCTTTTTCCCCAAACCTTTAAATTACTATTTTCCATTAATGGTCAGGGAGTTCGTCCTCGATGCACATGTTGTCCCCAGATCATTTTTTAAGGATATGCTTACTCCTCACCATTCTGTCCACCAAGAGGTACGTTGTAAACCAATGATACCTGCATTTTATAATATCATGTCCCTTAAATTAATTATTGTCCTCTATACAATCCAGCACATCGATGCCATGCTAAGCCTGTTGGCTCGGAGGTTTGGGGATACTTTGGTCCAGAGTAGGTCTGCCATACTTGATTCATGGTTTTCGATTACCCTTAGCGAACTCTATTCTCGTTTCAAGAAGTCCAAAAGTAAATCTGAGTGGCCGTGGAACAGTAAGATACGGGACTACGTCAGGGGTATAGTCCCTGGCCGATTCACGAGACAGGCTTGGTTTTCTGATGTCGACACTCTTTACGCGCCTTTACATCTGTCTGGGGGCCACTGGGCTGCGCTTGTCATAGATCTGAAAGAGGGTACCATAGGTGTTCTTGACCCTAACGTGGCTGCCAAAACCGACAAACAGATGGGCGTGCTCATGAAACCTCTCGTTGTGTTGCTTCCTTTTATCATCAAATCACTTGTCCCCCAAGATGTTCTCTGCAATCATCAAGTTCCCCCTGAGTTCGCCTTTGATCGTCTTCCTGAGATCTTTCAAAGCGAACATGAAGACGACAGCGGCCCGCTTGCTATGAAGTACATTGAGCTTCATTTCCAAAACATTAGTCACGACAGCATAACTGAAGAACTTGTGGAGAATATCCGGATGAGATTTGCTGTCGACATCTTCGAGGAGTTTGTTCAGCCTCTCCGGCTGTGATCCCCCTTTCAATATTTCTGCTTAAGAACTTATGTCTTTTTGTAATAATTATTTACTCTTCTTGGATGCTACTTGGATGCTTAGGAACTAAATATTTGTAAACTGCTATCTATTTAGGAACTACTTGGATATTTAGGTTGTCTTCCGCAAACAGAGATCCTGTCTCCTAAAATATTCTATATTATGTTGTCCTGTCGCAATTTTGGATAGGCAATTTTTACAAACAAGTCAACGTTTAGATACCCAATAACAACAGTAGAAGCCAGTTGCTCTTACGCTTCCCCATGATTTTCCTTCTGTGTTATCACATCAGCGAAAAGGTAACTTTTTGCAAGGTAACTTTTTGCTTAATAAATTTATATTATATTCTTGTCAAGATTTTTGGGCACCAGTCTCTATTTATCTCTCCACATTAATGATCTCTTCATCTACACAATTATACCCTTTCTCTCAAACTCCCCCCAGCCTACTCCATAATTTCTACCATCTAATTGTTTCCCACGAACCATGGGCCTCCATAGTTATACCCAGTCGAACGATTCATCCCGAGAATCTCTTAGTTCTTATGGACCTGTTTATCCCGGGCCAATGTCTTTTGAAATTCTTGGTATACCTCGTCACTGTTACTGCGGAGGGACGGTCGTACTTGCGAATTCACTCTCCGAGGACAACCCTGGCAGGCAGTTTTATCAGTGCGAGAAGAGAGATGTAAGTTTAAATCCCACTCTTACTAAATTCAATAATTCGATCTACTATAGTTACATTTGCTATGTTTGTATTCAGGACCGACCTGGGCGCCATCTTGTTAAATGGTTGGACGAGGCATTTATGGAGGAGATTTCTGCGGTTAAGTGCTCTATTAGGGAACAGGAAGAACACCTTAAGTTCCTACTTACCGCCCCTAACGGGGAGCACATGGATCTTGCCTTGATGTGCGATCGTCTGGACCTTTACCAGGAAGACATTAAATTGCTTCAGCAGAATTTATGTCTTTTGCAACGCTCCCCTCGTTCCATTGTCGACGTCGCTCGTTCGTGTCCTAAAATCATCGTTCTCGTCCTTGCGATTATTGTCCCCGTAGCCGCGTTCGTGCTTGGCACTTATATGTAGCTTTAATAGCTCTTTTTTCATCCCTCGGCTATTATGTCCCCCATTTTTTCATCATGTTGTCTACTGGGGACTATCGTGTAATGTTCGTCCCTCTTTTATTGTAGCCCGAATTCTACAAGTTATCTATATTTAAGATATGAAGCTATCACTTAGAGACGTTCGTGTCCTCCCAACGTGTTTTTGCTTACACGCGATTATTGTACCCGAGACGCTTCCAAGCTTCGACTCAATTCTACAACTTATATATATTGTAAAAATATGAAGTATCAAGATATCTCGCCCCAGATCTACTTATTTCTATGCCGACAAGCTACCGTAAATTGTATATTCACGTCCCCCAATGCAATACGAAACTGCTAAACAGTTATCCCTTAGAATAGTTAATCACCTAGTAATGAGATAGGTCTTGTCACTTTAATTAGTATTTACTTTTCCACATTCATTGTCCCCAACTACTAATTCAAAATCTCTAACAGCAGCATTCATTGTCCCCAACCATTAATTAGTAATCCCATCTATATATAGGTAAGTAACAACATTCATTGTGCTAAACCATTCCTAATTCCAATTCCTTGATATGTTTTTGTGGCAAAAGCTTCCCAAACATCTTAGAGTATCGATTGTCCTTCTTGTTGGTAAGTCATGTTACCGACACTTAGGTCCCCTTATTCTCTCTGGGAACGCTGGCATGCGTCTCGCACTTGATCCTTCTGTTTTGCGGGAGACTTCTCTGGCTCTCCTTGAAGCGCATCCTCAAAATGTTTTCATCGGTTCACCCATTTACTTCTTTGTTTTACGATGTGTAAAGGCTGGAAATCCTGCTGCTTGTTACTTAGAGAGCATTAGGCTCGCTGCAGTTGAAGGTTTAATCAAAGAAGCAATGCACATGCTCGCTCATATACCCGATCCATCCGACAAAATTCTTTTCACCAAGGGTCTCTACCTTGTCTCTATTAATAGACCTAAGGATGCGATCATCGCCATGAATCTATTCAAACAAGAAGTTGTCTCTTCTCGCAACGCTGATCGTGTGGCCAAGCTTGTGATATCCGATATTAAGAAGATTGCCCCAACCCAACTTAGATTCAACTGGACTGGCTATACGTGCTACTTGATCCATCCCCCTCGTCGATATTCAGAATGTTCCAACTGTAATGTTTGGAACCCCTGTCCTCTCTGTGTTAATTGGTGGGTCTTATGATTTGTTTGTTTTTCCTTTATATGGTCTCCCATATATTTTTGTCTTCCGCGAAGATGTATATGATAAATATATATAGTTTTTGTTCGATAAGTTGTGAGATGTGCTTGCCAAAAGATACCCATACATGTCATACTACATCCAATTACCAAAAGATAAATATATATTAGTTATACTTTCCGTGTTAAGCCATGGACTAAAAAATTGGATGTTAAGCCATGGACTAAACAAATTTCCCGTGGCCTATCCAACCTACGTAACGATAAACCCTCTTTTCCGCAATACTTCATGGACCAAAAGCCGCCGAAATATTATTCCCTAAAACTTAGATAGGATTTTTGCAAGTTGCTCTGTTGTGGCCATCCTTCCCACATGTGGTGCATTTGTTAGGTTTTTTTTTCTTCCCTCCTTTGCCCTGCAACACATACATGGACACAATTAATTTTTTTGTGTTGAAGGACAAAACTCATTTAAGACTCTTAATTTGTTACCTGATACTCTCCCCGCGATGGTATGCGTACTGTCTTTGGTCTTCCGCCTGGTCTTCTTGTTTTTGGTGGATTCACAACCATTTCACTAACTACGTTTGGGACCTCCGTGTCTTTTTCCTTAGGCGGAGGTAGAATATGGGCACGCCAGAGCTTACGCCACTCCGTCACGAATGCATAGTTCCCGATCAGGGAGTAAATGTCCACGTTCCTTATCCCCACCGCGGCTAAAGCGTGACAACACGGCACCATTAGCACATCAAATACTCTGCAAGTACATGTTTTTTTCTCTAGATCCACAGTGAAAACGATACCAAAACCGTCGTTTACTTGATAAATCCATTCACTTGCTGCTATGACAGCACAATCTGTCGCTAATTTCAGGTGATCTATTAGCATTTCCTCGATCTCTGGCGTACATCTTGTCCTCGTTCTAGTTGCAGCTTCTCTTCTCTCGTAAAACCAACGCATTAACATAGTCCTAATGAATTCTACCATCGTCACTATCGGGAAATCTATGGCTTTTTGCATTGCAGCATTTAGGGACTCCGAGATATTGCTGCTCATCACATTGTATCGCATTCCCGGGAAGTACGCAAGTGTCCAATGAGATATTCCTATCTCTACCAAATAATTGGCACAATTGATGTCTCTTTTCTGAATTTCTTCAAACCAATATCGCAAATCTCCCACAGTGTAAGATCTAGCCGCATTGGACACCATTTTAGCAAGCCCCTCACACTTGAAATGGTGGACAACGTTCCTAAATAAATGCACAGTGCAGCAAGCGTGCTTTGCAAGTGGATACACTGTCCTTAGTCCAGCATATATGGCCGCATGTCTGTCGGAGACGAAGACAAGATCGTCTTCATCAGGGACAAACTGTAACAGTTGTTTGAAAAACCACGTCCACCCTGCGATGTTCTCACTGTCAATGACTCCGAATGCCAATGGGAATATTTGATAATTTCCATCTTGTCCACTGGCAGCAACTAAACAGCTTTTGTATTTTCCTTTAGTCTGTGTTCCATCTATCACTATTACTTTCCGCAAATACTTATACCCAGCAACTGAAGCCCCAAACGCAAAAAATAAATATTTGAAACGGATTTCCCCCTCCTCAGTATAATCCGTATGGACTGTGGACAGCGTACCTGGATTAGTTGTCCTTAACAGATGGAGATATGTCTGCAAGAACTTATAGCTTTCTTCTTCACTGCCACGAGCTTTTTTCATTGCCATCTCTTTCGCGTTCCAAGCTTTCATGTATGATATGGTAACGTTTAGTTCAGCCAATACTATCTCTGGTAGTTCACAGGCTCTAGGTCCCTTCTTTCCATGCGCATATTTTGCTTTTAGCAACTCGCCTAGAATCGATCGTGTTGCTTTCATCCCGTACTTTGACCGCACTTTCACATCACAACTATGTCTTAGACTCGCTGTTCGAATTTCCACATTCTCCGAGTTCTCGTGAAACGTTGCATATACCCTCCAATTACATTTTTTATCATGGCATACTGCAATTACACGCGTCTTGTCGGAAGCTTTTATTCGGAAATTGAATAGCCTTTTTATAGAGTACACAGTTAATGCCTTATGCAACTCGCCTTTGTTCTGGAATATCCGCCCAATATATATTGAATCCCCAGCTTTCCTAAGATTCATGTTAGCCTTGTCCTGCGCAACTCCGACTGCGTTGTCCCTGAACGGTGCGGCATCTCTACCCATCACAATATCGTCCCCCACAAGTTCAGTAAACATTGTCTCCCCCATTGTAAGTTGCGACCTTATCTGCCCCATTTCTGCACTTTCCTCTCCAACACTACATCCCATTGTCACCTCCAAATTTCCTTGTCCTTCTCCTTCCTCAAAAGCCTTAAAAGTTGAGGCATCTTCTCTTCTTACCAACGGTGTCACCGTAACGTCCACTTGCCTCATTCTGGTCTGCCCCAGTTGAATTGACATGTCTCCACTTTCCTCTCCACCTTCAACAAATGCTGTCGCATCTTCTCTTCCATCGATCTGATTTACCTCAACTTCGACTAGTATTGGCTGGTTTTGTCCCTCTGGTGGACCCAACGATTCTGTCAGTTCGAGTGACATTTCTGCACTTTGTCCCCATCCTTGTGAAGTTGTCCCCTTTTGTCCCCGCAGTTTTCTACATTCCTCTTCACATTCATCAAATGTTGTGGTATCTTCCCTTCCGTCCATCTGATTAACCTCGACATCGACTAGTATTGGCTGGGTTTGTCCTCCTTGTGCATCCACACTTTCGTCCCCCACATACATATCGTCCTCGTATATCTCGTCCTCCATACCGGAATATATATCGTCCTCCACTCTACCATTTTGTCCCCGCGGCGATCCGTCTGCAATTGTCAATGCTTTCTTCCTCGAATCCTTCCAAGGATCCCAATCCGGCGGGTACTCCCTATCGATCAACTCCCTCATATTATCAAAGTCATAGTCGCCTGAATCTTCTCCCTCACTTAACATGTTGTCTTCCGACTCGGATGCCCATCCTCCACTATCCGTGCCCAATGCTACCACCAGTTCCTCTTCTCGTCCCCGCTTAGCTTTTCCCTTTTGCAGCACAGCTTCCTTCCTTTTATAAGATTCTTCAAACGCATATATTTCCTCTAAAAAGTCCTCTTCCTCAAAAGTTACAGGAATTATCTGCGTGCTTTCACTCTCACCTCTGTGCTGTCCCGCCATTTCTTGTCCCCGACAATCGTCTTGTCCCCCGAGATTTGACACATCTTCATCGTCTTCTTCTAAACATAGATACATGTTCATACCTCCCTTTTCTATTCTTACCTTTTTGAATTTCGACAATGAACTCTCGCTGTCAACAGAGACTGGCGGCATCTTTTGCTGCGTGTAGACAGTGTCTCCTCCTTCGAACCAAAAACTCAGCTCCATTTTTGTCCTTCTTCTGTCTACTCCAAACGCTGCGGCAATTTTCTGCTCAACATCAGCAATCGTATCTCCTGCGCTTACGTCTACACACTTTGCATATTTCTTTGCCGACATCTTGAATCGCCACTCTCCACTTTCTTTGCATTCCCAGCAACCGACCAATATCATTACTCCTTCGTCCATCCGTACCTGTCGTCCTCCAATAAATACCACCTTCTTAGAATGTAGAATGTGGGTGGTTGCATTTATCACAAACAAACAAATCTACCCTTTTTCGGTGGACAAAAAATGTTGCAATAAATTTTACCTTCTTTAGCTTTAAATGCACCCTTCTTCAAGCAGAACTCCAATTTCGCCCAGCATCAGAGTTTTCTCCCCAGATTTCCAGTTTTTTCAGATCTACAAAGCTCTTTTGTCTGATATATTAAGAGAGCAATTAATGGCCTAACCCTACTCTATTATCATTTCTATTAATTAAAATCAATTATCTACCACATGTAACCGTGCAGCATTAATTGATGCCCTGCTCCTTCTTTGGAAGCGCCGATAGAAGCTGTCTCCGTCTCTGACACAGCCTCTCTATCCCAATCAGGGGTATTTTCGTCCATGGTCGAGCGCGTGCAATTGAGAAATGGTACATTTTGAAAGGCTTTTGCGAAAGTGGTACATTTTGAATGCCATTTGTTTAAATGTGGTACATTTTGAAATATTCCCTAGAATTGGTTGGATCGGAGGATGAGGACATTTAAAAATTGCAGAATACCCAACCGAGATGGAAACTTGTCCTTGAATTGGTTTCCTTCCACATTCAAAAATTCCATGTACGTACAATTGATCAAGGTTTTTGGGAGTTTTCCTTCCAACCGGTTGCGGCTAACATCAAGTGCCCTTAAACCCGTAGCATTGAGAAACACATCTGGAAGAATCCCACTGAAATTGTTGTTTCGCAGATTAAGCACTTGAAGAGGATAAGCGATATTCCTTAAACATGGAGGAATTGAGCCATTGAAGCTATTGTTGGACAAATCTAAGATCTCTAGCGATCTAAACTCGCAGATCCATTGGGGAAATGGTTCTTGAAATGAATTTGAGTCAAGACGAAACTCATCCATTATTGCTTGATCTAGAACTTCTGGTTTTCCAAAACCGCTAAAAGAGTTGTGAGAAAGTTTCAGCGATGCCAATCTCAATAAGCAACCTGGTACTTTGCCTCCCAACTTATTGTTAGAAAGATCTAACTCCATGAGTTTGAGAAATTTAGATATGGATTCAGGGATTGGGCCATCGAATTTATTATCAGCAAGGCTTAGAAAATTAAGTCTAGAAGATAAAGACATATTCCCAAAATCTATAGGTCCCCTGAAGTTATTTCCCCCAAAAGAAACCGTTTGTAACGAAGGAATCGTGAACAAAGATGTAGGAAAAGGCCCAGAAAATGAGTTTCCCCTCACCAATAAAACCTCCAAGTTGTGGAATCGACTCATGTCATGTAGATGCCCGGGTTCAAAGTAATTATCACTGATATCAAGTTGGATCAATTTCGTTAAATTGGCAAATGAAACTGAAAATTTGCCACTTAACTTGTTTCCTCTAAGGAACAGGTACCTTAGTTTGGTCATGTTTCCAAATGAAGATGGAACTTGACCAACCAATCTATTAAACGAAAGGTCAAGCATGGTGAGATGAGAAAGGGTTCCTAATGAGAAAGGAATCTCCCCATATAGATTGCAATCTCTAAGGGTTAGGCTTTGGAGATATTGGAGTTTGAAAATGCCACTATTTGGTTTCAAAGAGTTGTTGAGAGAGACACTATCAAAGTAAAGTGAAATCACCTGGCCAGATCTAGCATCGCACGTGACACCCACCCAAGAACAGCAATCACTGCTCTTGTTCCATGAAATCATATCATTATCACCCATAAACTCATGTTTGATCTCCAAAAGAGCATTCCTCTGATCATGGCGGCAACGGTGGAGTGTAGGAGAAGCAAGAGTGTGTAGAAAAAAGGAAAACAAGAAGAAGAAATACAAGGTAACAACAATACCAGAAAAGGAATAAGATTGGCTTCGTATCATCATTTCTTTTCTTTTTTTATTAGTTTGTGATAGGTTATAGTTATGGCTTCTGCATCTCGCTTTTAAAAGAACCAAAAAAAAAAAAATAGTTGTGGAGTTCTTGACTTTGCATCAACTAGTATTATCGTCAACGGTGACATTGACTCAGTACTTCCACCTCGTAATTTATCCATCACACACTCTATCGATTTGATCTTATCGATTTCATTTTAAAATTTATCAATTAGAAACAATCATGGAAAGATATATAAGACTAACAGAAGCAGCGTAAAGACAGGTAAACAGCAGAAGATATTAAGTAAGATCTCCAGTGGATAGTCTTCACTACCTAGATGAAAAATAATAGAGGACGACTATATATGATCTCTATGCAAGTGGTGATCAAAATAAAGAAGACTCGTGGCACGTCCACTGGCAGGTTTACATAGGGGAATTGCCAGCCTCGTGGGATTAGTCCTTGGGCCTAGGAAGCCTTTGGGAGACCCGCGGTTATTCAAAAAAAAAAAATAATAAATAAAAAAAAATAAAAAAAATAAAGAAGACTCATATAATTAAGTATTTTTCTGTTGTAAAACATGCTAAACTTGCTCGCATGAATTATTGTCCCTAACACTTTTTTTTTTTTTTTTTTTTGTCAACCACACATTAATTAATAAAGAACTCTTTGATTGTCCCTAACACTTTATTTTCATAATCCATGGATTTTTAGCTTCTCAAATGCTCCGAAATTTCTATTAATCACCCATCAAAGTTGGGTAAGTCATTTAAATTTTTTAAAAAGTCCTAAATCTTCAATAAATTTAGTATATAATCTAAATAACTTCAAATCACCGGATGAAATTAATGCCTTCGTTATAAATTCTTAAGGTATAAGTATTATTGGAATTTCACGATCAAAATCGTTACATCAGAGAGAAGCATGAGTAACTTGTGTCAAAAGAAAGAATGTGGGAAGTGTGACATAGAAAACGAATTGAACACTTTTTGACTTACAAAACTCTTCAAGGAAGATTCAATGAGGCGTGAATTAAGGGTTTCCATGAAAGAGACAAATAATAAAATTAAAAATAACCAAAAAGCACATATACAGAATACAGTATATATATATATATATAATCTCACACGTTAACCGTCAAAGACGTTTGTTAAAAAAACTAACTCTAAAATTACAAAATACAAATGAGTTGTTGGAGAACGCTGATGGCAAATCATTACAAACTTATCAGTCTTCTCATCCTCTCCAAGACTTTGTGATTTGTGCCACAAAGACTGTTAGGATAACAATGTAGAGGATTTAACCTTTGAAACTGTAAGACCGCGAAATTCCAATTTGAAAACAGAGAGAAATAACTTTGTAAAACGATTTAGGAAAGACGATTTAAAAAAACGAGTGAAGACGAGATATGATTTCTCTTTCCGTAATCCAAACTAGCTCCCGCAGTGTGGCGGTTTTACGAGTAGCGGATCGCAGGATACCATGACTATTAGACCAATATCGCAACACTCGATAACGGAATCTACGATCTTGAAATAATAAGATATACTCTTGATACTTACTTTTGAATAGAAAGGAAGAGAGGGAGAGAGTTATGTGGTTGCGTTTTTGCAAAAAGCAAGTGAACGAAATGAATGAGAGGAGGCTCGCTATTATAGCCAAGAGGAGACGCAGCTTGATCCGCAAGTCATGCGCACGTGAGCGGAGATTGTGGAGAATCGGAGTGATGCGCAAGACTCAACCGAGTCAAGATCGTGGGCGAGATTTTAATTTAGGAAGCGTTATCACTTCCGTTTCTCGATTTCGAATTCGAAAAAGGAATATTCGGATATACTTTTAATAGCTTCCGTTTAATCTTACCACCTTCACCAACAGCTCCAAGACTTTGATTCTGTAAATCTTTCGCTAGAATCAGCAGCCGAATCTGTTACCGGCGTGGAAGGGGAAGACGAAGCCGGTGAAGATTCCATCCTATGGGAATTATGAAGAAGATCGAGATGGGCTTAATCGAAATTCTCTATAAATGGAGGGACAAAAAGGGAATATTCGCAGTGTTATCATGCAATGCTTTCTTTGTTCACTTGGATCCAAAGGAATAAACACAACATAATAAAAACCAAAGCCATGTAAGCCATCTAGTATTCAGTGCAAAACCAAGAAAAAGCTCTTGAAATTAAAACTCAGTAGCCATGCAGTCGAATGAAATTCTACTTATGAGAAACATAGTATTTAATTTGGCCACTCCACTGAATCTCTCTACTCATCAGTAACATGTAAGTCAAATTACTTATCCATTACTACTGGAAAATAAGACAAGAAAGAAAGAGCAAGAGATGGTTCATTTCCTCACATGATTAAGAGAGGAAATTTTTTGTCTTGAATCCTTGGAAACACATAAAATTTACCATTTCATTCAAATTAAATCCACGAATTATTCATAATCAAATTTCTGCAATTTCCTAAAAATCACTAGAATAGAGAAACCAAAGACTTTTGGCATCTGTTCAAACCCGTTAGTAATCAGGTCTAAACAGGTTATCTTTTTAGTATTTCTTCAGACCCGTTAGCAATCGAGTCTAAACGGGTCAACCCTTTATAAACATTTATATTATTGTGTCTTCTTAAACGATTCAGGTCCCCAAAAAATACAGTGTCCGTTTAGACCCATATATATGTTTAATGCCCATTTTTAACATCATGGGAGCGTGTCCAAGAAGAAAGTGTGTTCGAAGATTTTCGGCCTCTGTGGGGACGCAAATTTTCCTTCCATTGGAAATTTTTTAAACTTACGCGATCAAGGGTTTTCTTGAAAGAGACAAATGATAAGATCAAAATAATAATTAAAAAAAAAACATATCAAATTCTTGATTACAACACAGACAGTAGGATAAGCAGTTAATTCCATACATAATTTATTGAATGCATTTTTGAGACAATTAGTCTGTTCGTTTCGACGCCGCTGGCGGCTGCGGCGGCAACACTACCGCAGGTTGTTGTTCGTTTCGTCACCGCAGCCGCAGATCGCAACTGTATAATCGTTTGACGCTGAATTTAAATAGCGTCCAAAGTTTTTAACCGCAGGTAGCTGCGTTCGCCGCAACGTTATGCCGCAGATACCTGCGACAACGAAACGAACATGGATACTTGCGTCTGCCGCGGCCACAGGTAGCTGCGGCGACGAAACGAACATGCTCAATATATATTAAATACCACCAAAGAGGTTTATTACAAAACCATAAAATAGAAAATTATAACTTACAAGAGTTTTTTGAGAATACACCGTGAAAAATTATTACAAACACATATGCTTGACAATGGTTAGACAAAAGATAAGTGAAGGTGTTCAACGAGCACTTCTGATGACAACTCCGGGCTTGTTTTTACGAAACTTTTCCATGAACCACTCATGCTTAAGGAAGATCTGTCCAATCACAAATCCGCAAAAAACACCAGGTCCGTACGCTATTGCCGCAGCTATCCAATTAATCACTTGTTCTTCAGACTCCGACAATTCCTCCGATTCATGTTGTGCAGGATTTTTGGCAAGATGGTTTCCACATATTCCTTCGAGACCGAATAGTTTGGGGTTGTCCATGAATGAAGAACAATTTTGGCTTTGAAACTGTGTGCTTTGTGGAATTGGACCTTCGAGATTGTTGTGAGAGAAGTTCATCGTTGATAAAAAGGAGAGCGTACCAAGATCTGGAGGAATCTGACCTGACAATTGATTCCGGGATAGGTCTAATGCCTCAAGATTTTTCAGATTTGCCAATGATTGAGGTATGTCACTTGTGAAAACATTACTTGACAAGTTGAGTAGACGCAACGCCCTTAACGATCCAATAGATTCAGGGATTTTTCCACCAAATTTGTTTCCCGAGAAGTCAATGAACATGAAGTCTTCTCGAATCACTGAAAATGATGTATCTACTCCTTTATGCACAATTTCCATTGAATTACTGTAGGAAGCAACATACACCATGAAATCTTCCATGTACACGTTATCATATTGTGATGTGGCCATGGCACTCCAACTGGAAAAATAGAAAGCTGGGAGGGTTCCAGTGAAGTCATTTTTTGAGATATCAATGACTTTTAAATTTTGAAATCCAATGGAGACGTGGCGGTCATATAGCGGCCCATAGAATTGATTTGATCTAAGGAAGAGGACATTTAGCGATGGTAGAGAACCCAACCAAGATGGAAACTCGTCCTTGAATTTGTTGCTTCCCAAATTCAAAACTTTCATAGCTTTGCAATTTATCAAGGATTTTGAAAGTTTTCCCTCCAACTGATTCCAGCTAACGTCAAGTGTCTTTAAATTGGTAGCATTGACAAACATATCTGTTAGAGTTCCACTGAAGTTGTTGTTTTCAAGATTAAGCATTTCAAGATTAGTGATATTCCTCAAACATGGGGGAATCAAGCCACTAAAGCTATTGATGGAAAAATCTAAGAGACCTAACGATCTAAGCTTGCAGATCCAATGGGGAAATGGTCCTCGGAATGAATTCGATTTAAGACTCAACACATTCATCTGTGTACTATCGAAAACTTCTGGTGATTTTCCAAAACTGCTAAAGGAGTTGTAAGGAAGCTTCAACAATTGCAATCTCCATAAGCAACCTGGTACTTCGCCTTCCAACTTATTGTGGGAGAGATCAAGCTAAGATCTAAGATGTTGAGATTGAGAAATTTGGATATAGATTCAGGGATTGGGCCATCGAAATTGTTACTAGCAAGGGACAGAGCATGAAGCCTAGACGATGAAGATGTATTTCCAAACTCTACAGGTCCCTTGAACTGGTTTCGCCTCAAATAAACCACTTGTAACGATGGAATTGTGAACAAGGATGTAGGAAAAGGCCCGGAAAATGAGTTTCCACTCAACAAAACATATTCCAAGTTGTGGAGTCTACTCATGTCAGTTGGGAACTCGGATTCAAAGTAATTATTAGTGAGGTGAAGTGTGGACAATTCCGTTAAATTGGCAAATGAAACAGGAAATTTTCCACTTAAGTAGTTATTAGTAAGGCTCAAGGAACTTAGTTGGGTCAAGTTGCCAATTGAAGATGGAACTTGACCAACTAATTCATTTTGTGAAAGGTCAAGATAGGTGAGATGAGAAAGGGTTCCTAATGAAAAAGGAATCTCCCCATAAAGATTGCAATCTCTAAGGGTTAGGCTTTGGAGATATTGGAGTTTGAAAAGGCCACTATTTGGTTTCAAAGTGTTGTTGAGAGAGACACTATCAAAGTAAAGTGAAATCACCTGGCCAGATCTAACATCGCACGTGACACCCTCCCATGAACAGCAATCACTGCTCTTGTTCCATGAAGTCATGTAATTTACCGGAAACTCCCTCCCATGAACAGCAATCACTGCTCTTGTTCCATGAAGTCATGTAATTTACCGGAAACTCGTGTTTGAACTCCAAAAGAGCATCTCTCTGGTCATGGCGGCAAAAGTGGAGTGTAGGAGAAGCAAAAGTGAGTAGAACGAAAGAAAGCAAGAAGAAGAAATACAATGTAACAACAGTACCATGAAAGGAATAAGGTTGTTTTGGAATCATCATTACCCTTGTACTTTTTTTTTTTTTGGAGTTTGTGTGGTAAGTAGTTGGTTATGACAATGGCTTCCGAATCTCTCTCTTTAAAAAGAAAAAAAAAGAGAAAAAACAATTTTGGAGTTTAGTTGTTGACTTTTGGAAAATTTAGCGTCAACGCATGACTATTCTTCTCCTCTCTAAGTCTATATAATCCGTGATTTGTGCCACAAAGAGCCAAAAACCATTGACTCATTTCTTCCACTACATACTCTCTTGACTTGACCAACCTTGTCGAGTTCTTTATCTGAATATATGTAAAAACTTTAGTTAGCTAATTTCTTACAAATTCCAAACAAAATTTATCAATTAGAAAGAAATCATTGTAAAGAGGCAAAGTGTAAGACCTTGCAAAAAGCAGCAGGATACTAACAAAACATGTAATTTTATTAACAAAACTTAGCTTTAACTTACAGAAATACATGTAACTGCAGTTACAGCTGCTTCTTCGATTCCATGACCATGAATTCCACTCCAATCAATGCTAGCTTCGAATCCTAAGATCCTATTACTGAGCTTGAAGGTCATGTTCATCGTCCGAAAATCAAGTCACTAATATACTGTTCATAGTTCTGTTTTCCCTGACTTTGACAAATCTTAACGTTAGTTAGCTTTAACATGAAAGGTCAAGGCATTCTGTTCAAGTTTGAATGCGGATTAGATGGTCTCTCACCGGCTGGTTTATACAGCTTGACCAATCTTCTCTATCTTGGAAGACAAGTAATGAAGTAAACAACAGATGGTTTCACGCTCTTCTGCGAAAGCATGAGTATAGATCAATTAATGTCTTATACGGTGAGTGAGATCGATCATTTGGTTATAGGCGTTACCCTTGTCGTTTGGGGTCTCACTCCAATTCCCCTTCATTGCGATAGCATGGCAGCTACCTTGCATGAAATCTATTGTTTATGTAATGAAAATATTGGCGGTAAAATTATAATTGCAGTGTCACTACGGTTTAGGTGAAAATGTTTGAGTGAGGAGTCACTATTGTTGATGTGATTCTAGAGGCAAGATGGGGGAAAAATATATATAGAAACTTTTTAGTTTCTAAATTAAAAACTCTTTCTAAATCTCATATTGGAAAAGGCTAGCTAGCGTGAGTTACGTAAGCTATAAGAAAGAGTGATTGGGAAATGTGAATCAGAACACGAATTGGACACTTTCAGCCTCTATGGTTTAGGAGAAGAAAATTTTCCATTGGACTTTTTTCACTTAGAAAGTCTTCGTAAGAAAGATTCAATGCATATAATAATATTCTTGATCCCACACATCCGTCAAAGACGTTTATTACAAAAAACCATAAAACAGAAAATTACAAACACAAACGAGTTATTGGAGAACGCTAATGGAAAATTCTAACAAACTTGACAAATGCGTAAAAGGACAAGAGAAAGTGTTCAACGAGCACTTCTGATGACTACTCTAGGCTTGTTTCTACGAAACGTTTCCATGAACCAATCATGCTTGTGTGAAACAAATATATGTCCAATCACCAATCCGCAAAAAACACCAGGTCCATATGCTATTGCCGCTGCTATCCAGTTAATCACTTCTTCTTTAGGCTCCCGCAATTCCTTCGATCCTTGTGGTGTAAGATTCGGGACATGCCTTTTTCCACAGATTTCATCGAGACCGTAGAGTTTGGGGTTGTCCATGAATGATGAACAATTTTGGCTTTGAAACTGTGTGCCTTGTGGTATTGGACCTTCGAGATTATTGTGGGAGAAGTTCATTGTTGATAGAAAGGAGAGTGTTCCAAGATCTCGAGGAATCTGACCTATTAGCTGATTTTGTGATAGGTCTAGTGCCTCAAGGTTTGTCAAACTAGCCAATGATTTAGGTATGTCGCTCGTGAATGCATTACTTGACAAGTTGAGAAGACGCAACCCCTTCAACAATCCAATAGATTCAGGGATTCTTCCACAAAATCTGTTTCCCGAAAAGTCAATGGCTACGAAGTCTTTTCGGATCCCCTCAAATTCTGTGTCTACTCCTTTATGTACTATTTCCATTGAATTACGGTAAGAAGCAGTAAAATCCATGAATTCTTCCATATATGTGTCATCATATTCTGCTTTTAATGCGGTCATCCCTAGCCAAGTGGAAAAGTAGAAATCTGGGAAGGTTCCAATGAAATCATTATGTGAGACATCAATGACTTTTAAATATTGGAACCCAATGGGGACTTGGGGCTGATATAAGGGCCCATAGAATTGGTTTGATCGGAGGATGATGACGTTTAAAAATGGAAGAGAAGCCAACCAAAATGGAAACTTGTCCTTGAAGTTGTTGCTTTCCGCATTCAAAAGTTTCATAGCTTTGCAATTGATCAAAGACTGTGGAAACTCTCCCTCCAAGCGGTTGCGGCTAATGTCAAGTGAGTGTAAATTGGCAGCGTTGACAAAAATATCAGGAAGAATTCCACTGAAGTTGTTGTTTTGGAGATTAAGCACTTGAAGAAGATGGGTGATATTCTTTAAACATGGAGGAATCAAGCCACTAAAGCTATTGTTGGACAAATCTAAGAGATCTATCGATGTAAACTTGCAGATCCAATGGGGAAATGGTCCTCGGAATGTATTCGAATCAAGACCCAACTCACGCATTTGTGGTCGATCGACAACTTCTGATGATTTTTCAAAACTGCGAAAAGAGTTTTGAGAAAGCTTCAACACTGCCAATCTCCATAAGCAACTTGGTACTTTGCCTTCTAGCTTATTGTTGGAAAGATCAAGATAAGAGAGCTTAACTAACTGTGATATAGATGTGGGGATTGGTCCAATGAAACTATTGTAACTAAGGTCTAATGTAACGAGATTGAGAAAATTAGATATAGATTCAGGGATTGGACCATCTAATTTGTTATGAGAAGTGAATAGACCAAGAAGCTTAGATGATGAAGATGTATTCCTAAACTCTAAGGGTCCGTTGAATTGGTTTCTCACAATACTAACAACTTGTAACGAAGGAATCATGAACAGGGACGTAGGGAAAGGCCCAAAAAATGAGTTTCCATCACAAAAAAAAACCTCCAAGTTTTGGAGTCCACTCATGTCAGTTGGGAGCTTGGATTCAAAGTAATTATTGTTGAGATGAAGTGTGACCAATTTCGTAAGATTGGAAAATGAAATCGGAATTTTGCCACTTAAATTGTTTCTCGCAAGGCTCAATGAGGTTAGTTGGGTCAAGTTTCCAATTGAAGTTGGAACTTGACCTACTAATTCATTATAAGAAAAGTCAAGATACGTGAGATGAGAAAGGTTTCCTAATGAAGAAGGAATCTCCCCAAGAAGGTTGCAAGACAAAAGGGTTAAGTGTTGAAGATAATGGAGTTTGAAAAGACCACTATTTGGTTTCAAAGTGTTGTTGAGAAAGACGTTATCAAGGTAAAGTGAAATCACCTCGCCAGATCTAACGTCGCATTTGACACCCTCCCAAGAACAACAATCACTGCTCTTGTTCCATGAACTCATGTCTTTAGCATTTTGGTAGGATTCATTTACCGGAAACTCGTGTTTGAACTCCAGAAGAGCATCCCTCTGATCATGGCGGCAACGGTGGAGCGTAGGAGAAGCAAAAGTATGTAGAACAAAGGAAAACAAAAAAAAGAAATGCATGGTAAAAACAATACCATAAAAGGAATACGATTGGCTTGGTATCATCATTATTTAGTCTGTGTGGTTTGTGATAGGTTATGATTATGGCTTCTGCAGCTCTCTTTAAAAAGAACAAAACGATCTAGCGTCAGCTCGTCGGTCTTTCTATATGATCTTAAGTCTCTATGATCAATGATATTTGTGTCACTTGCCAAACTTCTCCACATAGACCATTGACTCATTTCTTCCACCAACTTATAATTATCCATCACACACTCTATTGACTTGACGTTGACGAGTTCATTAACTTTTTGACTATTTTCAAAATGTAATGAATTGCAAACATATTTTATCAATTAGGAACATGATCATTGAAAAATACCAAAATTTCCCATTCAATTTCTGTTTTCACATGCCAACATGTAAAGAAAAAGTCAAAGAATCATAGTTCGTCCTGTTATGACATAAAATAATAACAGTTAATTTCATACTTAGTGCATGAATTATCACCTCCGACAATACTGGCTTAAACCGGACGAATTACGAACAAATCTGAGAATTCAGTCAAACCAAGAAATCCCGGTTAGGCCTGTTAACGGGCCAGAGAAGGGAGGTCGCCTGGCGAGCTCGACCCGAAGACGGGAGATCGCCTAAACCGACTTCTCATTCAAGAAAAAGGAAGATTTTCCTTAAGAGAAAAGGAGAATCGCGAAAAGAAAGGAAAAGAAGAGGATAAGGCTCCGAAGATTTAGAAGATTAACATATCTTAAACCGCCTTAATCATGTATAAATAGAGGGGTTTGTCCTCTATTCAAGGGATCCGCAACTTTGCACAAAAAACTCTAATTATTCTTGAGCTAAACCCTAGCGTTGTTTCTAAGCAATAAAATTCATCATTCTTTTCGAGTCTTTGATCACAAATAGCAAGAGAGTTAACCGAATTTGTTTTCCCCCTTTAAACAAATTCATTGTGTGATTTTCGAAATCAACAATTGGCGCCGTCTGTGGAGACGACAAAATACCTCTCTTCGAAAAACTCTATCCTCGATCAATACTGCTCGCAAAGAAACATGGTTCACGAAATCGAAGACCTTACTTTGCCCCTGAACAGTGGCTCCATGCCACCTTCCACCATAACGGCGGACCTCTCTAACAGAGACGGCTCCCGTTCAGTTGAAGAGGAGCTGGCAACACCACATTTTCTCCAATTCTCTGGATAACCAATCACCTGGTAACACTTATCTTTATTATGTCCACTTCGACCACAATGGGAACATATCAATTCTTGAGACAAACTATCTCCACGACCACATGGTTGAGGAGCGTTCACCACCAAATTCATACCATCCCTCGTTTGTACTTTCTCACGAGGTGCTGACTTAACTGTTTCTTCTCTTAGCACGATTGAGTAAGCTTGATTCAACATAGGCAAAGGCTCGCGAGACACCAACGCAGACTTGAGAGCCCCAAAGCATTGTTCATCTAATCCCAACAAGAATTGGCGAACTTTGTCGTCTTCACGTTTGCGAGCTTCTCTTGTTTTTGATCTACAAGTACACCCGCCACAAGTGCACGCACCACTCTGTTCATAGTTGCCAAGACTATCCCAAAGTCGTTTCAACAACACATGGGAGATCATGGCTTCGGGATTATCACTCGAGGACACATCATATGGATGGATTCTCTTTCTTGAAGCGCCTTCTGCTGCTTCGAACTTAACATCGGTGATTTCCACCACTTCGTTGACCTTCACAAATGTCTCAGCGCCTTCTGCAGCTCCATTGGTTTGAGCGCCTTCCGCAGCTCCGCTGACCTTCACAAGAGCGCCCTCCGCAGCTCTGTCTTTCTTCGCACCACCATTGGCCATGAAGAAAGATCACGAAAAACCTTAAAGATTAGAAGCCAAAAGGCTCTAATACCATGTCAGAATTACACAAAACGATACTGGAAATTCTGTGTTATTGATATAAGACGGCTACATACATATATATACTAGTTAGGGAACATTAACCCTAATTACATAAATATTAAACCTAATAAAGCCCATATTCAAAGACCTGATCCGATTCTAATCCAAAGCCCGATATCAAAGGTTTGATCCGCCCTATTAATATTCCTTAAACATGAAGGAATCAAGCCACTAAAGCTATTGATGGACAAATCCGTTATATCTAAATAAATTTGTTACTGATCCAATGCCCCCCTTAGTTTTATACATTCACAAGATATAATCGTTACGGAAAAGTGAAGCATGAGTAACGTGTGCCAGAAGAAAGAGTGTTTGGGAAATGTGAACACGAATTAGACAGCTTTCCTCTCTAGTTTAAGAGAAGCAAAATTTTCCATAGGACTATTTCACTTAGTCCCGTAAGGAAGATTCATTGGGGGGCCGGCGTGAATTAAGGGTTTGATTGCAGTCAACTTAGCGGCATCCGAGATTGATTTACGACAGCCTAAGACTCTACGGTCAGTCGCAAAGTATATAGGGTTGTTGATGGACCTAATGGAGAGTCTAGGTGATCAGGGTGAGCAGGTGATACGCACATAGTTTTGGTGGGGTTGCTATTTCCAAGGCCATGGAGATATTCCATGATAAGGTTCATAATACACAGTGTAACAAATTATACAAAAATAGCCCTTTTTCGGATAGAAAGTTCCCACTAAAGATAAACAACCAGAGACAAGGTTATTCTCAATTATATATTGCATACCAACCACACAAGTAGGCTAAATCAAAACACAACATATCAAAACCATTGATATATAGAACAAGTAAAATTAAAACACAACATATTAAAACCATTGACATATAGAGCAAGTAAAACTAAATCACACTTTTCCTCTGAATTTATGCATCGGAGAGTCCACGAGAAATCAGAGAGAAAAAAAGAGACGTAGATTCTAATTTAGATTAGTAAAATTTCTTTTTGAGACTCTCTTAAGAAAAAACAGAAAGCAATTCATACCCATTTACTTGCTTCGGAACCTATATCCATCCTTTTTCTTGCCTTTGTTTATCTCGTACATTGCTGATGTATATAGGGGAAAAAAAAATGTAATCACAATGAGTTTTTTTGCTTTTTATTTTCTATCTAAAAGTATTATAAGGATAATCTCATCATTACCCCAAACACAGAAAGCCGAATATAAAACTACACCAACAGGACTCAATGCATATATCTTTCGATACTCTGTGACAGCTTTCTCACCTGAAAGGACCCAAAAAATATATATATCAAAATTAAAATCTTAACATATACGATTACGAATTTCAAAAGATCTGAGATAAAGAGTCAAAGAACGTTACCTTTGCTACCAGTTTGCGAACAGAAACCACGATCTGGACGAGACACAAGGGTTTTTCCACCAAAGCCGAGGCGATAACACTGCACAACGACAGATCTCAGATTCGGATGCATTATCGGAAATTAGGGTTTTGCTCTTCTTCATCACGGCTAAAAATGTAATAAGTTCTATGGTCAAATCGGCCCTAGCTTGCGCTCCACGGTTATTTCCTCTGTTTCGATTGTCAATATTGTGAGCTTATGGTAAATTACCACATTGCAATATTGCATGTCCTAAAATACCATTGCATGTCTTAAAAAGATGTGCTTTATACCTTAAACTCATAATATTGATTAAAAATCTTTTTTTGTCATCATATTAATTTTATTCAAATAAAGAAAGAGTTCAAAAAGACAAACATAGCACATTCTTGGTAAGTGCAATGTCCACCTAAGGTACGCCATTTCTTGTGACAAATTTTAACGGGTTGTGTACTAGTTACAGAGAATATGCGGAAAAGAAGAATTGACTGTGATACAAGATGTGTCAGATGTGGCGCACCAGAGGAAACGATCAATCATACAATCTTTCAGTGCCACCCGACACGGTAAATTTGGACGCTTTCACAGATTCCTACGGTTGTGGGAAATTTTTCCACGGAATCTATTTTTGCAAATTTGGATCAATTATTTGGGAGAATACCTTCGGAATTCGATTCATAAGTTTTCCCATGGATTATTTGGTATATTTGAAAAGCAAGGAATAAAAAAATATTTGATAATATAGACAATGACCCACTAGAGGTATTACGGTTTGTGGAAGTCGAAACTAACACAATCAAGATTTGTCTAGGGTTTTATTTTAGGGATACGATAATCGTGAATTCTCAAAGAACAACAGAACGATTGTAACCAGAGATGGTGTTCTTGATATTATTAAGAAAAAGATGACTTTGATCGTACAAGAGTTTGATCGAAAAAGAAAAAGATGTTTGTGCTGTGAGAGCTTTGCGTAGTGTAAATTCTAGAGCGATATTGCCTGCCCCTTCGTTTGAGCCTTGAATCTCTTTATATAGGGATGAATAACCGCCTCTCCAGCGATATTCTCGGAAGATTTCCATTTATCTTGAAGTCGGCCAGAATATCGTGGATTAGAATAATTTCCTTATTCTTCGGAGTTTTTTTGGAAGACTTCCTGATTTGAGTTGATCCTTCGCGATTCTTCTTTATCATTTCCGAGTTTATCGGAAATGATCCTTCTTTTTCGGAAATGATAACTTGCTTGGAAATGATACCTTTGAAGGAAAATATTTACTAAGTCTTTGCCTCGGGTGATGACGAATACCTCGCCCTGGAGAACTTATGCAATCGGCTCGGGTGCACAGGAAGGATCGGCTCAGGTACCCGAGGCGACTGGTTCGGGTAACCCGAAGTGATGGCCTCGGGTATACGGAAGGAAGTGGCTCGGGTATCTTGGCGTGAACCGGCTCGGGCGGTTGAAGAGCTGGCTCGGGTTGCGAGTTCACATGTGGACCCCGAGGTGATCGGCATGTTGCCCCGAGGTGAACGGCTTGTTTTACCGAGGTGATTAACACATTTCCCCGAGGTATTTTCAGAAGTTCCCTGAGGTGTCCACAATCCGGCTCGGTGCTAGGGGATGGGATCCGACCCCAACAGTTAGCCCCCCAGCTCGTTGATTTGAGAAGCAAACAATGAGCTTCACGACTGTTTAGTCCGAGCCGTTTTAAACTTTGTCCCGAGCCCATCCTTGTACGCCGCCAGGGTTTTCCATATTTCAAAGATGGTTAGTGTCCTTCGATGATTCTGATTCTTGACGATTCAAATCTCTTTGACG